GAGAAGGAATTTGAGAGCATAGATCCTTGGCAGCTGAAAGCATGGTCATGAATGATAGCGTGATTAAAATCCAGGATGCGCAAAAAATCTGAATTGGAGGCACTACTGAGCCTTCGGGCATCTGTGCTCTGTATTTTAATATAAATTCACATTCTCTGCCAAACAAAACAAACAACATGCTTCAACTAGATACAAAAAACAGTGGAATGAAAGGCCGAGCATCGACTGCAAATCTCTCAAACATCAGAAGCATCTCCCTTAATTCCTTCATCCCAACCTTCCCGTCTACAGCCATATCCCTAATAGGATACCTTCTTCCTTTATTGTACATTGGTTTTCTGTTACGCCCCCGCCAGGTTGTCAAGATTGACAGATGTGCGGCTTTTTCTTAACAACTTGTGTTAAGCATGACCCCGAATAGACATCACAAAATGTAAATAAAACATTGCAACAGCTGAAATGGCTCAGAAATTTTGAATTGTAAGAAGGCAGCAAAATGACCATATGGGGAAATGTTAAACCCGCAAGCAGTACTGATTCAAAAGAGATACTGAGCCCCATGATGCTGGCTGTGGGAAGGGGTTACTGAGTGTTTGTGTGAGGCATCCAGATTAGCATCAGTAGAGATATAGAAGCAGTGGCGATAACAACAGCAACAGCTTGTACTTATAACATTATAAATGCAACAAAACATCTCACAGTGCCACAAATGTTGTGACCCATTGAATTAATAATCTACAGTGAACAAGCGTCACTGTTGGTGGGGTAATTATATCTTATTTTTTGAGAACTTAATCTATTGTAGGATTAAAGAAATGGAAGTTCTTATTCTTAATGTTTCTTTGTGGTGACAAACAGCTGGAGAGAGCCAAATTTCAGAAACGACTTGGTGTTTTAGGAACTAACAGCAGAGAGGCACTAAAAGAGACCCAGATCATTGCAGAGTTATTTCCAACAAATTCCATTCTAACCAGTGTTCAGAAGTTCACCCCACAGCCTCCCATCTCTATCTGGAGACAAGAGGAGACGAGAGCCGAAATGCTCAACCTCACAAGGCATGGAATGCATCAGCAATGCTGAGCTGGCAGCTTCAAAGCAACCACAACAGAGCATCGCTGAATCAGAAAAAGCAGGTGTTCTTGGTGGTAGGAGTCTTAGCCCTGGCACTGTGGTTTAAACTTCCTACATTATTCTGTCACTAGTCACCCCTGTCTGCACCATTCAGAGCTTCTGGCATTCAAGCAAGCCTTTAAGGGAGGCAGTGAGGATGAAAGCTCTAACCATCATCCCCGGAAAGCAGCCCTTTGAACATTTTGAACCAACACTGATATATTGCCATTGGGTAATGTGGCTAAATTAAGTGGTACTTATTACAATCATACAATATCCATTCTTATATCAAAGAAAAGTGCCTTTTTGGCAGATGCTGGTGTATCTCTACCACAAATCACTAGATAGTTAGTTGATTGTAAACAACATACACATTTTCAACATTCTTACATACTTTGCTTCTGTTAGTTATTCTACCTACACCATAGTTCTCTTTCAATAGGCATAACTTCTGCTTCGGTCTTGGTAATTGGTCTGATGCTCTTGTAGCGAGCACAACATCAACAGGGTGACTACTGATGTAGATTTCTAAGGTTAATAAATCTGTTTCTTTGTAATATTGTACCTTTGGACTACTTACTGAGTCTCCTCACCGCTTTCAGATTTTCACTTTTAAAGAAATTATCAAATAGTGATTACACACATTTTGTAGGATTTTCACACATTTGGCAGTGAAGGTGGCCTTTTCCGGCTTCTTCTCAAGTAAAATGGATGTTTTCCCATCTTTCACAGTCTAAAACACCAAGCACATTCTTTGGCACAAACTTTTAAATAAAGTACAAACTTTTAAATAAGTACTCTGGCTGCGTCCTTTACAAATCTTCCCAATGAACTCACAGGTTAATTACTGAGTGCCAGACCTTTTAAATCATAAAATCACACAGTACAGAAGAGGTCCTTCAGCCCATCAAGTCTACGCTGACTAAAACTACTCTAAATCTACACCTGGAAAGTCTGACTTTCCAGCACTTGGCCCATAGCTTTGAATGTTATGACATTTCAAGAACACATCTAAATACTTCTTAAAGGTTGTGAATTTTTCTATCTCAACGACCCTCCCAGGCACTGCATTCTAGATTCCCACCACCCTCTGGGTGAAAAAAATCTTTCCTCAAATCCCCTCCAAACTTCCTGTCTTTCATCTTGAAATTATGCCATCTCGTTGATCCTTCAAATCTTTAATTTTCCCTGACCTTTCTTCTTCCGTTCGATGCTTTGAGTTAAATTTGCTCATTTTCATCTTAAATTTATTACAAGGCCTTCCCGATTTTATAGCCCAGGTCTGTATCTCTTTTCTGGTCTTTTCACTGGTCCTTTTGCTGTACCTTATGAAACCTAATGTTGATGGTGGGAATGCTTGTTGTTAGAGGTGAGAACTGTTTTTTATATATATTCGTTTGCCTTTCTTTCCTGGTCACTACACTGTTCTTCACAAAACTATTCTCTTTTACTTTAGAAATCTCTGACCTTACCACTTAGAGCCTTCCTTTACTCTGTAAACGGTCTCTGTAAGGCTCGTATCTTTTCTAAGTATGGCTGGCTTTTTGCTCTTTTTCTAGCCCACCCTCTTGCCCTGATACTTCTTATCAGCTTCTGAATGAATTTTAGCCTTTGGAGCCCTTAGTTTGTCTTTTTGCTGCTTATGTCTCTCTCGGTTAATAACTGCTTTTAAGCTGCTGATTCTTCTCAGAGTAATAATTCTCTTAAAATGGTAAACTCACTTGCTTGAGTATTTTTCTTTTCTATGCTGCTGTAGCCCTGTGGTATTTTCCCTCATGACTCCTGCTAGCAACCTATGTTACTGGCCAGTGAAATGACTGGGAAAGTTGCCAGAATCGCAGAGGACTGTAGGCTGCTCTCCCTGTACAGAGAGATGACTGGTGGTGAGAGTAACCTGAGGGTCATCACATGTAAGGTGAAGTTGAGAAGGCAGGGTGTCCATGGTGACCCTAGCTAGTACAGGAATTGAAGCTGCATTGTCGGTGACACTCTGCATCGCAAACTAGCTAGTGAGCCAACTGAGCTAACCACCCTCAAATGTATTTGGAAGTCCTGCAAGTGTGTGGCAGGAATGGTTGTTTGAGATAGTTCATTGCTACTGCTGCTCCTTTGTTTTTTACTTTGTCTTGGACCTCTCTAGTGATTAGTGGTTGAGGCTACACCACCATAGAGTATCGACAGAAGAGGCACCATTCTTGAATAACAAGAAGTTTTATTGCATGATAGCAATAGGTAAAACTATATTTGGGCAGGCATAGCTACAAGGAATTTCAAAAGCTGGTGTAGATGCATCTGCTTCCTCCTAAATCTAGAATAGAACTTCTTGTCTCCACTCATAGAGTGTGTGTGACATCAGTAGAATGGAGCCAATGTAACATGAATATTAACCCTTTCAGAACCATTATCTTAAGCAACATAGACCACAGAAGTATTGATAAAACGAAAATAGAATAAAAGTCTAGAATAAACTGAAAGCAGGGGATTTAGGAGGAAAGAAACAAGGGGAGGATTATCCATGAATGATTTGCTCGACTTTTAATTCCATATTTTTATTGGATTCAAATGCCACCATCTGCCATGACAGGATTGGAACACAGGTCCCCAGAACATTATCAGGGTCGAGCAATAGTATCACCAGACCATTGCCTCCCAATGTGGGGTTACCAAACCATGTGGAAGAGATGTAGATCAGCTATCATTTGCTTTTAATTTTTACTTACTTCCTTGTACCGATTTGAATTTTGAGGTGTGGGCAATCTATAATACAAATCAGAACACTGAAGTCTACTCAGATAAGCAGATCAATGTCAATAGGATTGTGTATGTTATCTGATCTGAGTCAATGTCTTTATGTAGCTCACAAAGCCAACGGTTTGGACACCTCTGCTGTGGGATGTTTACAACAGAACAAGCTATAGTCTCCCTGCTAGTCAGGGATGATATACACTGAGGTGGAAACCATCAGTATCAATACGTATATCTCACCTTATCTGCAAATTGCAGTATGTAATTCTGTTCCTATTTCTCCTTACAATCTGCATGTACTTCCCAATTTGATCATTCAGTGTATCTATCCTATTCAACTCTTCAATATTTCTTTGCCTCTCAATTCTATTCTTCAATGCAACTATCCCTCCAAATTCAATATTCTCATGTGTTTGTTCATCTTGGCTGGCAGTTGTCCTCAGGCAGTTGTCTTCTTTCAGGTATTCGGAGAGGATATGTTACACTGGAACACTAATGGATGTCCTAAATGCAGTTAATAGTTATATATATAAATGCCTGGGGTGTTTACTGTGTGTCTAGCCTGTGCGGATCTGGGAGTTATCTCAGGCCAGTTCAGAGGTGTGTAACCCATGCGGTACCTGACCTGTGAGCTCTTGACGGGGCTGTTTTAGAGGGAGAGCTTTACTCGGCATATAACGTGTGCTGGGAGCTGTGGACCAAACAATGTAGGCGAAGCTTTGTTTTCGGGGAACGATCGATCTGACAGAAACCAGTGAAACCGTTGACTTACATTCGTAGTAGGTGTGCTTTGAAGCATGTTTTTCCCCTTCTCTGGACCGAATTATTCAGCGAAGGTGCCTGAGAGAAAAGGAACGCTTCTCCAAGTTTGCAAAGTTCAACTTTAAGAAAAGTTTTCTCCTCTTTCTTCCCCCCACCCCCCAACTCTAGGGGACAGAGTCGATGATGTTTAGGCTAGGTTCCCGGCGATTGGACAATTGAGTGCCAACCTCTCTGTTAGGACTGGAGGTTGGGTTGCCAATTGGGCTAGATGTCAGTTTCATTGGGTGAAATTGATCTGGAGGTGGGTGTTCCCTTCGCCCCTCCCACGCCCCCCTCCCCCCTGGTACTGTAGATGCCGGGACCCCTACAGTACAACACACACACACACATAGAAAACTCCTCCAGCTGACACGGGTTGCCTTGCCTGGGACCGTGTAGGATGGAGCCGCGGCTCGGAGCGTTGCTGGCGGCCGGGGTTGTGCTGGGGCTGCTGGAAGGGATCTCCGGCTTAGTGCCGCTGAGCGACTTCTACCCGTTCGGGCTGGAGCACGGGGACTCGGTCAATGCCAAAGTGGATGATGGAGGCTCGGGGTTGGTGGAGATCTCGCTCGGCTTCCCTTTCTTCGGGGAGAAGCATTCCGGGCTTTACGTGAGTCACACTCCGTGCATGTTTCGCGACCCAAAGCCCATCACCTCCCACCCGCGACAAACCCCCATCCCCGCCTTGGTCCGAACCCAACGGGATGCTTATCCTGACTCTCCCTAGTCCGAACTGTCAACCATCCAGGCAGATAGGTCCATCAAAAGCACACTGCCCCTCTCCAATGCCCCCCTTCCTCACCCCCATCAGAAGCTACACCATCCATTGGCCCCACTCTCTCTGCCCGATCATTGGTACCCCGATTGCCCCTTTGAATGCCAGTCCACCGTACCGTTGTTTTATCATTCGTTGGACACTCCACCTGCCACTCGCTGCCCCTTGGTTGTGTGTCAGGCACGAAATGTGCTCCAGCATTAATTGGGTGTCCCATCCAGTACCATACACTGAACAATATGCTGCCAGCTAATAGCATTCTGTCTGCCCATTTATATCCAGTGGGCACTCTATCTGCCCCATTGTTATACAAGGTTACTCATCTTACCTCTTTATAAATTGGGCTTTTAGCCTTCACATTTTATACACTGAGCATTCTAACTACACATTATTATACACCATACATTCTGCAAAGCATTATACATTGTGTGCTCTGGTTATGCAGTCTTATGTACTCAGCTCTCCACTGGCTCAGTATACACCAGGCAATCTACCTGTCTGTTACACACACAGAAGTTGCTGGAAGAAGCTCAGCAGGTCTGGCAGCATGTATGAAGAAAATAATCAGTTAATGTCTCAGAACTTCTGAGGAAGGGTCACCGGACCCGAAACGTTAACTCTGATTTTTTTCTTCACAGGAGCTGCCAGACCTGCTGAGCTTTTCCAGCAACTTCTGTTTTTATTTGCTCCTGATTTACAGCATCTGCAGTTCTTTCAGTTTTTATCTACCTGTCCATTATTTCCTCCTGGGTTCTCTTGAATGTCCGTTATTAGACATTGGGAACTTAGCCAATCATTATCAACTTGGAATTCTGCCTATTATTATTAAATACTGGGTTCTCAGCTCCTCATCGTTGTACACTGGGATTTGTCTATTAATATAGTGTTTGGACAGTTTATCTGTGCTTTGTGATATGCTCAACACCCTGCCTGCTCATTATTATACACTGTCATCCACCTGCCTATTATTTTACACTGGGTTTTCTGCTGTTCATTGTTATACCCTCCCTGTGCGTCACATCTTCCCTCAGTACTTCACTTGCTACTGGGTCAGTGATGTGTGCTCAGATTACACTATGCAGTGCTCTACTCTTGTATTGTAAGTATTCAATTCACAGAACACTCACCAGGTTCTGTAGATGCCAGAGTTAACCCAGGGGTTGGAATGGTCCTGGCAAGGAACAAGCAAGTGAAACAATGGGATGTGGCTTTACAGAAAGATGACTGTATAATCACCTGGCCCAAAGTAAATGATGATAGAATGGTAATAATGTACTGCTGGTTTCAAGAGTGACAATAACTTGAATTTATATAGCTCCTTTAACATAGAAAAATGCCTCAAAATGCTTAACAAAAGCATTATCAACAAAGTTTTATTTTTATCACAGAACAAGGTAATGAAAATGACCCTGCTCAGAGGAGATAAGTTTCATAGAGCATCTTAAAAGTGGAGATAGAGGTTGAGTCCAGAAAGCATACTCATGAAACAAGGTGTCAGAATTGGAGGAGCACCGAGACTGAAAGACTTGCAAAGCTGGAGGACTGTAGAGACAGGGAGAGACAAAGCAAGATGGTGATTTGAAAGAAAATTTGAGGATTTTAAAATTGAGCATTGTCAGACTGGATGCTATTGTAAATCAGCAAGCACAGGAATGATGAGTGAACAAGACTTGGTGCAAGTTAAGATAAAGGTAGCAGATTTTTTGGATACTCACTGGTTCACCTAGAGTGGCAAATAGGGGCCAGAAAAATATTAGAATAGTCATGTGTAACGGTAACAAAGACATGACTGAGTGTTGCAGCAGCGGTTGAGCTGAGGCAGGTTAGATTGGATGATTTTATAGTGGTAGAAGTTGGTGGTGTTGGCGATGGGGCAGATATGTAATCTTCTTGAGGATAAACACCAACACCAAGGCTGTGAATGGTCTTGTCTTAGTTTTAAATTGTTGCCAAGGGGTAGAATGGAAGTGGTTAAGACTGAAGACAGTGGCTTCAGTCTTTCCCGTATTTCATTGGAGAAAATTCCTGTTTATCCAATATTGGACAAAAGGGTGACAAAACAGTGACAGTGGACAGATCATGGAAGGCGAGAGCCGGGTGTCTCCAGCGTACATGTGTAACCTGATGTTGTGTTTTTCATTAATGCCACTGAGGGGCAGTGTTTAGTTATAAAATCAGAAAGCTCGAAACAGAGTAGGAATAAATGGGTCATTCTCAGGTTGGCAGGCCGTGACTAGAGAGCCATTGCAAAGATCAATGCTTGGCGAACGTTTACAATCTGTATTGATGATTTGGATTTTGTTTTTAATTGTGGGAGGGTGGGGGAATACCAATATAAAAACAGAAATTCTATGACCGTCTTTCAGAATTTCATGACTTCTGAAGAAGGCATGTTGGACTCGAAAAATTAAGTTTGCTTCTGTCTCCACAGGTGGTGCCACACCTGCTGAGTTTCTTCAGCACTTTCTCTGTTTACTTCAGACTTTCAGCAGTATTTTGGTTTTACATAATATTTCCCAGTTTGCTGATATCACGAAACTGGACGAGAATTGGAGTGGTGAGAAGGATGCAAAGAGACTTTGAGGATTTAGACAGACTGTGTGAATGGGCAAGAACGAGAGGGATGATAATATGGGAAAATATGCAGTTATCCACTTTGGTTCGAGAAACAGAAATGCAGAGTGTTTTTTTTAAATGATGAGAGTTTTATGTGCAAAGGAACCTGGGTGTCTTTGTTCTTAAGTCAGTGGAAAGTAACATACAGGTGTAGCAAACGATTAGGCAAACAAATGGTATTCAGGTCTTTATTACAAGACAATTTGAGTACAGCACAGAGACGTTCAACTGCAATTGTATAAAACTTTGGTTAGATTGCACCTAGAATATTGAGTATAGTTTTGTTCCCACATCTAAGGAAGGATAAATTATCTTCAAGGAAGAGCATCAGATGGTAACCAGATTAATCCCTGGGATGGCAGGGATGTCCTAAGAGGAGCAATTGAGGATACTGAGCCTGCAGATGCAGAAGAATGAGAGGTGATCTCATTGAAATTTGTAACGTTCTTATGTTTAGGGCTGAGCCAGGAATGAATTTCTTTGTCCAGATGGTGGAGAATGTTTGGAATTATTGCACCTGGGAAGACTCAGACATTGAGCATATTCAAAACAGAGAGCAATAAATTTCTATAGAGTAAAGGTATCAAAAGATAGGAAGGTAGTGCAAGAAAATAACACAGACGTGGAAGATCAGCGATGATTTAGTTAAATGACAGAGCAGGTTCATGGGGTGAATAACATAGTTCTGCTCCTATTTCTTATGTTGCTGAACAGAAGGGATCATTACAGGATGAGTTTTTTATGTGTCTCCTGAAATTACACAAGACAGTAAACAAGTGATATCTCTCCAGCAGTGACTTGAGAATGTATCTGGTGTATGTAATATGAATGTTGGCTCATGACAAAGAAACCTCTCTGTGGCTCCTGATGAGAGCTGAGAATGGTTTTCCAGACTCTGGGGATTGGTGAGATACGAGATGATTAAGGACATGTTCACCTGCTGGTGCAGTATCACGCTGGAGGCTCTCTGACAGTGGCTAATGAAGCTTCCAGGCTCGACATACCTCATATTGATGCACTAAATATGCACTATTGGCCTCCCAGCTGACCAGGCCGTGAGGTCAACCAGTTGTTCTAGCCGATCTTGCCACGTGTTTTCCAAACTGTTTCTTGTGGCTGACCTGTTTGTAGTCTCACCCCCATTTTCCTGCTGCCCCAATAACCCTTGACTCCCTTGTCAATCCAAAATCGATTTAACTCTGCCTTGAATAAATTAATTGATCCAGCCTCCACTGCATTCTGGGGAAGAGCGTTTCACAAACCTCTGACAGATAAAAATGTCTGTCTTTAAAATGGAGACCTGTCACTCTTAAACTCTGGGCGCTACTTCTAGTCTCCGAGAAAGATTCCACGGTCATACGATCAGCAACTTGCAGGACATGCTGCGTAGCAGGATGTTGAAATAACTCCACGGAGGCCAGTATCCCATCACCAAGTCACTCTTTGTTTATATGTGAAAAGTCCTTGACACTGATCCAGCTCCCTCGGAGCCAGCTCTCAGAGTGAACAGGATGTCTGACGGTCCTGTTCTTATGAAATCTATGCATGTCCAGCCACTTTGAGTGGACATCCACAATGACTAAGAACATTGAGCCCATGAAAAGACCTGCAGAGTTGACGTGTTACCAAGTCCAGGGCTTACCCAGCCCTTCCCATGAATATGGGGGAGCCGTTGGCGGTAATGTTTGTCCTGTGGACACCCTGGGCACTGTCCAACAATGCAGCTGTGTCTGCATCCAATCCTGACCATCAGGCATAGCTTTTCGCCAGCTTCTTCATTTGGGAAACCAGTGATGTGTCTGCCATGGAAGGTGGCTTAATGCATCCGCATTCACTACTCGACCTCCTGGTTGCTGTTCCAACTTGTAATTTTATACACTTACTATTAGAACCAACGCCGAATTGAGCCTGAAGCTTTGGGTGGCAGTGCCTTCTCCTCTTTACAAAGACTGTGGTCTATTATTGTTGCAAATTTACATCTGTAAAATTATTGCTGAAACTTCCTGACTCCAAGTATGACTGCTAAACTTTACTTCTCTATCTAGGCATATATACGCTCTGTGTTAAACAAAGTCCTGGATGCATAAGCTATTGGGTGTTCCTCTCCGTTGGGCAACCTAGGAGTTAATACTACACCGATGCCGTATGGGTAGGCATCACATGTCAATACGAGATCTTGCTTGGGATCACAGTGTACCAATATCTCAGCAGATGACAGC